GGAGCTGAAGTCCAGAACATCTGGAAGACCCAAGTTTGGGAACCACTGGTCTGGGTGGAGATTGGGGCATTGGCCAGTGCTACCCAGGTTGATGATAGAATTCAAAGACATAGCCGTATTAGTCTGTAGAATCAGTACGTAGATAGATCTTTTAGCACCTTTGAGAGTTACTGAAAAAAAAGTTGGAAGCATGAGCTTTTATAGGCTACAGTCTACTTAAATGCATCTGAGGAAAATAGACTGTAGTCTACAAAAGCTCATGCTACCAACTTCTTTCTGTCAGTTACTCTCAAAGGTGCTAAAAGATCTCTGAATCCAGGTTGATGGAAGTTGCTGATGACTTTGAAACAAAAGTTTACTTGGTAGCAGCCACAAGTCCTTAAAATGGGTTTTCACACCACGTTCTATACACAAAGCTCCCAAACTAGTTATTTTGAAGTTTGCTCATCAGTCCCAAAATTTGCCTGAAAGTGTTTTGGATGTAAACCTAAGCTTGGTCAAGATCAGTTCATAAAGGACCATTGTAAAACAAACAAACAAAGAAAGAAAATACATAAATTTGAATGTTTGCAAAGTGTCTAAAGTAATATGGTCTCTGCTTTCAATCAAACACAAGGATTTTAATAGTATACCAGTCTAGGTACTTTAAATTGTAGTATAGGTATTCCATTTATACTGACTAGCAAAAGTTTAGAATTTAGTAAGGAAGGAAACTTGAGTAGTAACAAAGTTGCTACCAGGAACTTTTGTTATCAGAGCTGCCACATGCAGGACCTAATTTGGGATGGGCTAGTGATATTCCATCCAAATGCGTGGATGGAATTCTTGCACAGGAATGGCATTCCTAAGCCTGCTTGCGTAGGAGTCAGACTGGCTCAGAGAGCTTCATTAATGGAATCTGTCACTTTTAACTCCCAAGTGAACATGACATTTAGGACTGGGGCATTTTGATTTTAATAAACACACTTAGAAAGCAGGCGGGGAGGACGGTAGTATCTATATTTGCAAAGAAAACAGGACTTAACCACCGCAGGAGTGCTGCAAGGCCATCTGTGAGACTAGTTTCTTCATTCTGGCTTTTTTGAAATAGACATTTAAGGGAGGAATGGAGAAGAGGTTAGTTCTGGAAAACTCCACAGTCTCACTGCTCCTCAGAGATTTGCTCTGTTTGGCTTCAGGAAAGTTTCAGGGTCAATGGCTAAAACAAATGCAGAATGTGAAAAAGTTACTTTTTAAGAATACAACTCAAAATCCTCTGGCCAGTTTGGACAGGAAATTCTAGGAGTTGTAATTCAAAATATAACTTTTCCATGGTCTCACTGAAGCAAAAGGCAAAGCAAACTACCTGGAAACCAATGTTAAGCCTGCTCATCTGAAGGAACTTTCAGAAAAAGAGGCTTTTGTGTGTTTCCAGTGTGCTAACTGAACACAACCACATTCTACAAAGGAGATGTGAGAACCTGAAGTGATAATCTTGTAGTGTCAATGAATCTGACCAGAGCAGGAGAAACCCTGTGGTACTTTGTGGTATTTACCAACCCATACCTGTATGTTTGTAATGCTAGATCACACAGAGTTTTACTGCTCTAGTCACAGACGTTGGTTGATGTTGTCTTTCTCTTGTGATGCAGCAGAAAATCACTTGAGAGAAGAAAGTTGCCCTTATGCAACCAGAAGCTATCCAGACTTCTTTGATTGTAAATATCATTGACTTTAAAATTGGACTTGCATTTGTTTCCAAGAAAAATGAAAGAAATTGACTCTGGAGTATTTAGCTGTTTGAATGTGCCTTGGCCATTCTGGAATTAGTCCTAGTGCTTGGGAGCATCCTTCTAGTCCTATTATACAAGTAAAATTTGATCAAACATGTGAATTGAATTCTATTGAAGCCACTTCCTAGTTAGTGCTGTGGATGCTCAGCTGAAGAGGTGAGCTGGGGGGAGAAGACTGAAATGAGGATTTCATGCATATTTACACAATTTCAGTGCTGCTGATAGTATGCATAGGACTGATGTATTGCTCACTTGAACTCAGTGGGAACTGAATAAATATGCATAGGATTGGGCTGGAGACCTTGTACTTTTGAGACAAAAATTGCCTCCATAGACTGTAATCCAAAGCATATTTGGGAACCAGTTGGATTGCCCTTGGAGGTACATACTAATGAGTAAGCACCCTTTCCAGATTTCATTACATCCTGATAGCCAATTGGAATCCTGAAGCTTCCCAAGTTGATGTGTGCCTTCAAGTCATTTCTGACTTGCGGCAACCCTAAGGGGTAGCTGAGAGCCAATGTGGGGTAGTGGTTTGAGCATTGAACTGCAATTCTGGAGATCAGGGTTTGATTCCCTCCTTGGCCATGGAAATACACTGGGTTACCTTGGGTGAGTCACACACTCTCAGCCCCAGAAAGCCTTGTGAATGGTTTGCTTTAGGGTCACCATTAATCAGAAATGATTTGAAAGTACACAACA